TAATAAGGTCCGTTCCTAAGCTATTAAAAACGATTGTGAGATAATTCATAGACCTAGACAAAACAATATGCCGACGCTCTATTCCGGTTGGGAATAGAAAGCAAGAACCAATGAGATTACAAAAAAATTTGAAGATGAAATCCGAGGATTTAAAATGATAGAAGATCTATCTTTTCACTCGCTGTAAAGTTGTTAATGAAATGAGTAATGAAGTCAATCTGAAAGATATTATCAAATTAAATAAAAATCATTGGTATATTGATAATATAAATAATTATTCGGAGATTTAAAAAAAATAATTTTAATGAAGGATAATATTTCGTTCGAAGAAGGATTATTTTATAATGATAGGATGATTTTTCTGATAATTTAAATAAGGTGGTTCATAATATTTATCAATAAAGACATCCTGGTATAGTGGGGATGAAATAAATATGCAGAAATTATGTGTTTTAGACAAATCTTGATATATTTCGTTAAATGTCATAAGAGTTGCTAGGAAAGAAGACCGGGAGCCAGAAAAGTGCTGTTATAAAATTAGAACATTCCTACCCCACCTTGGGAACGAATACTCATTGATTTGAAAGACCTGGTATCTGGAAAGTATTGGTTACTGCGTAGACGCTTTTCCCAAATAGGTTGAAATTGCATTTAACACATATAGATTCGGCGATTATAACAAATAATCTGCGATATTATTTCGATAGATTTGGGTTACTTTGATCAGTGGAAACAATCCATGATAGAAAAGACGGGAGCATTAAGGAAGCAAAAATATTATATAGATAGGAACGTTAAGCCCCGCGAATTTGAAAATAAAGAAAAGGGTTGAGTAAAAAATGAAAGGACTGTAGGATGGCATGAAGGGACAGTGGTTCAACATAAAAGTGTGATATTGTATGTTGAGTTTGAGGGAATTGTAAAAAATAAGCATGTCGACCAACTAAGAGATGCTCAAGTACAAACTAAGGAAATACTCATAACAATGAAGGAATATTTGGACAATGCAGAAAATAATGGAAATACAACCCTGAAAAAAAGTTTTGAAACCCCAATTAAGTTATTATATGACGAATTCAATTTGTAGCGGGGGGAACTATAATGCATAAACATATTTTATTTTTCCTTTAAGAATAAAATGATTTTTAATAACAAATAAAAGTTGAATTTTTTTAAAACCGCCCATTATTTATACTAAGTCAACCACCCACCCGTTCTTCAAAAAAATTTAGTTCGTCCGACGTCCCACTTAGATGGGCGGGTTAAAAATCCGCTCGCTGCAGACATTTAGTTTGAATGCCACTTTATATTTTCTATTTTTACTTAATATCTGAAAGTAGATGATTTTAAAATTCTAATTTAATCCTTAAAATTTTAAGGTATTACCTTAAGGTAGTGACTATCATTAACCAAATTGTTTTCCCTTATGAATGCTGGTTGGGCAAATTTTTTTTAAAAAGTATTAGAATATAAATACAAATACAATTAAAAAAAAATATTTGTACAAATACTAGAGTTGGGCAAATTTTTAGAAAATTGTATTCGGATACAGATACTTTATAAAATTTTATATTTAAGATACAAGATACTTTAGAAAAATTTAAATAAGATTATAAGATACAAGATACTTGTATCATTTTTAAAAAAAAGTATCTAAGATACAAGATACTTTTTTAAAAAACTTTAAATAGTCATCAAAATGTATAAAGCTTTATTTTCTTATCTATAATATAAATTTATAAAAAAAATTTTAAATAAATTGTAGAAAATAACAAATTTATTATATAAGAAAATGCGATATTTTTTTAACAATTGAATAATTAGTAAATAATAATAAATCAGCATTATTTTTTAATATTATTAATTTTTCAAATAATTTATCGTTCACTCTTTGACGATTTGGTCTATTAACCATATTAGCAAAGCTAAATAATCGTTCAACGGGGGCAGAGGAGGGTAATATTGTGTTATATTTAATAAATATTTCTTTTATATATTTATAACCATTTAATATATTTTGTCATCTTTCATATAATTTAGGACCTCTAATTCAATATCATTTATTGAATTATTAGAATTGGATGTGGTACTTTTAAAACAAAAGTAATCATCATCTTCATCAATTGAAGATTTTGTTGACGTATTAATTTCAATATTATTTTTAAAAATAAATAAAGCTTCATGTATTAACAAATCTTGTAGGTATTTTTTTTCTTTTTCACCATCAATCCAACGATTTTTAAAATAGGGATGTTGTTGCCAAAAATGCGCTTTTAAAGTTATTATCAAAATCATATATATTTTTAAATATTTTATTTAAAGAATTTTCTACAGCAATAGCTAATGGTTTGCAAAAATGTAGATGTTTGAATTAAATTTGTAATTTTTTTTAACATTTAATATTGGAGCTGATTCTCCATCAGTTAATTTCATTTTGTATTTTGTCAATCGCTATAGCCAATGGGGCCATTATATTGCAATATTCTTCTAAATATTGAATTTCAATATCTCTTAATTTTGGAAATTCTAATTTTTGACATAATTTAGGAAGTTCGCCTTTAAATTTTAATAAACTAATAAGACTATCAAACAAACTATTCCATCTTATGGAGCAAGGTATAACTAATTGTTTTCCTAAAACTGCTTTGATAAGTTCTGCAGTTTTAGGCCTATTACTAGCATTCCATAGCTTAGTATATTTGGCTATTGCGGGATGATGAATTTTAGAAATGTTAGGAGAATCCTTAATAGCTTTCTCGGCATCTGTTGTGGCAATAAGACTTATCGTATGGCACAGACAACGAATGTGTTGAGGTTCAATGATTTCGAATTCTATACATTCATCATCATTGATGTCAAAATCATTCTCCACACCTTCCATAGAATATCCAAACTCCTTGAAAGCTTTCTTGAAGTTAGAGCCCATTTTAATTTCATCATCAATCAATAATAATATGAAAATTTATTTTATAATACTTCTAAATTTAGTAACAGATATATGGAATATGAAATGATAATGAATATGATTATAAATGTGATTTATTATATAATTATATATTATACTTTTAGATGCTTGACAAAATTTTATGACGAGTTCGCAGAACCACTTATAGATTTGTGGCATTCTTTACATTCTGCAGTAATTTTATTATTATCATGTTGAATTACTTGAAAAAATTTCCCATTTAAAATAATGAATTTAAATTTATAGTTATATTTTTCTGTTGAAAAGAATCATCTGAAGACGAAGATAAACATATTATTCTATTTTCTTCTTCCATTATTTTAAAATAGACGGATATAAAACGATTCAAATAAAATATGGTAGTTCTAATTGTTAGAAAATTGCTATATGACGACCAACGTCATATATCATAAATTATCTAAATTCTGATTAGATTTTTCATTTAAATTTTAAAACAATATCATTTTAAATTTTAATACTATTTAAATTAACTAATATAAAATTTTTAAAGTATCTGTATCTTTTTGAATACAAAGTTGGTTAAGATACAAATACTTTTAAATAATGTGTATCTGATACTGGATACAAGATACTTTCCAAAATTTAAAAAATTAAATACAAATATCCACGTTACTGCCGACAAATACTAAATAAAATATCAATTAAAAATTTTAAAAAAAAGTAATTAAATACAAGTACTTTGACGCACTTTCGCTTAAACAAATACTTTGACCGATGTTTAGTACCATTTTCAATTTTTTTTTTAACTTAGACAAAATTTTATTATCAATCATTTTCTAAAATTATCGAATATCTGTAGGACAAACATTAAATTAAATGTTGCAGCAGTAGCATTATCACATAAATTATGTAATAAATATAAAATAGCGAAATCACCAGGCTTAGATAATATTTTTCTGGTTAAATATTGAGTTAGCCGTTTTTAAAGTTCAAATCGAGCCATTTAACAACGCTACATTAGCCCATTAATTTTGGATGCGATATTGGCCTCTATATTCCTACCTAATTAAATACTATTAAAGTTAAACCAAACAGTGCTTTCATGTATCATTAACTGACATTAGCCGATAAATGAGAACCAATTAGTTATATTCAACGAAGAATGCCAGCCCATCGGATGCACCACTTTGTCAGAAAATAAAGAGTTCAGAGTTAGCAAAAATTTTAAAGTTAGAATCCTTTTGATAATCGCTTAACTCAAAGAATTTGTTTTTAGATGAAATATATTTAAAATTAAGCAAGTGTCTGAAGTAAGGAGGATGAACGTTTAGAGAGATATGGTTATTCATATACTTAATTCTTTTTATCAATAACCTATCAGGCCTGATAGGTCATATGATTATAAATAAACGAATGGAAATTTAAATAAATCAGCTGCTGTAATGACAATTTCATTGAGTTGGACCATAATCAATCCTTTTATATGATCATCTTGTAATTCTTAAGTTTAAATAATTTATTGAACACGATTCTCTTAAAAACTAAAAAAAAATATTTAATGTTCCACAACAAACATGGTATGTTGTTAACTTTTTATTTATGTATCTAATCCAGAAAGTTATGCATATATGATATTAAATATAATATTAATCTTTAATGTAGCGAAATTATCAAGTAGAAAGGTAAAAGTTCTCTCTTCTTTTTTTAAATTTTTATAAAGGTGAAATAACTGAGGAAAGTATTTATTAGAAAATTTTTTGTTGGGAGATTATAATTTTTTGCAATCAAAATATTAAGTAATGAATAGAAAATTAAGAAAAATAAATAAATGAATACTAAATTTTAAAAACTCCAAGTCACATAGTTAAAAAAAAGATAGTTATAAAAAAGACATAAATCTCGAATTTGGGAAGAAAAAAAATATAATATAAGAATTATATTTTAAACTATTATACCATTTTGCATTTTATTTTTTTTATAATATATATATAAAATAATTAGAATATATAGAATCAAAATATTACATTTGAAATAAGATTATTATAAAATCAAAATTTATTTTACCAATGATAGGAGGCTTGAACTATTTTGAATACGTTAATTTTTTTTTTGATTTTTATGGTTTAATAATTTAATATTTGCCATTAATGAAATTATAAAAAAAAATGTAATACTCGTCAATTATCAACATCAGTAATAGAATAAGAAGAAAAAATATTCTATTATTGCTTTTGATTAAACATTGTTTTGATTTACTTTTATTTTACAAATATTTTGTTTTTATTTTGTAAATAATTTGTATTAAGAAATATATGTGTAGTAATAATTGGAAATATTATACAATTTTTTTTCTCTTTATTTAAGAATTAGGAATACGAAAAGAAACTTTCTTAAACACTTCATTTTTTTATAAAAATATATATAGTTTTCTTTGAATTTAAATCAAAAAATAATAATTTTAATTTTAAGCTGGCAGAGTGACAGAAGATGTAGTAGTAGGTCCCGCTCTGTTGCTAATAGCGGTTGGAATTTCTCCGGCTTTCCACATTCTCATTTTCAAGAAGGCATCGTATCCGTATAATATCATGGCTACAAATCCGAAAAACTAAAAGCAAAAAGAAAGAAAGATTGAAACATTAATTTTATTTTTATTTTACCGCGGCCGCAGCTAAGGCTCCTGAACAACATGGATATTTACTAGAACGGATTGCTAATACCAAAGACGCGATTAAAAAGAAGAAGGCCCAAGTCGCGCAGAATATGAATTCCTTTAGAATAAATATATGAATTTTTAAAAAAAAAGAAGTAGTGTAGCCTTTTTAAACACTAATTAAATTAACCCTTCATAGCACAGGTAAAGGTAAAAAAATGACACCAAGGTCTAGGTGGGGCCCACTCGGACCCCGTTTTAGGTACACCACCATTTCTTTAATTTGTAGCTTTCACATTTTATATTAAATAAACTATAATTTAATGACTAACTATTTCAAAATTTTGACAGTTTTTGCCAAGAGATTAAAACAAATTATTCTAAAATGCACAGTGGGGATGTAAAAAAATATATAAATAAAATTGATGATGTAGAATATCAATCTAAGGTTCAAATATTATATTAATATAATATAATTTTTAATTAATAAAAATGATAAAATAAGTGTTTTGTTTTATAAATATCAATCTTTAAAACTGATGAAAAAAAAAGTTACACACATGACTAGATGCAACCCTGAAGTTCCAAAAAATAGTTTTAAGTCATGAACTATCGTACAAAATAAATTGATTTTGCACATATATATTTTATCTAAAAATATTAAAACTGTGCTATGAAAGGCTAAAAGATGACACTTTGTTCTAAAAAAAGTCATTTATGTTTCTGAAAAAAGACATTATGTGGCTAAAAAATCTATATATAATATTAGGTTTTAACATTTTTTTCTTTCTTTTTTATGTTAAAAAGCTTTTTACATTAGGTTACTTCGTTAGTTTTAATAATTATACATAATATAGAGAATAATTAAAATTGAAAATTTGTAATGTATCTAATAATATTTACGATCAAGAACCAAGGCAGGTTAGAAAGGGGCCTTCCCATGGCCACTATTTGTAAAACGTAAAAAATAAGCAAGATGAGCGATATTATGAAGCCAGAAAATGATACGAAATCGTACCAAGTTGTCCCGGGGGCGTAAGCCCATTTTGAGGAAGTGGAACATATGAAGCCTATCAAGGCTATGCACTAAAAATATAATATAAATAAATAATATAGTAATGAGGGCTATACCGATATTAAATATCGTTTTGAACTAATTTCCTTTTATTCCCATAAAATGAATATTACAAAATTAAAATGTTTAATGTTTGTTTTAACATTTTATAACGATAGAAGAAGTAAAGCATACTAATAAATTTAAAGAAAATTACCCAAATCTTTTGTGTTTTATTTCTCTATGGTTTATTACATTTCTTTGAAACCTCAAGAGATACCATTTGCACGCCCCGGCCTGGATTTGTTTTCTAAAACATTTTTGGCCAGGTCCGGGAATTTTTTTTAATAAATTTTTTAAGCCCGGCTTGGGTATATATTTAAAAATTTTATTACGGCTTGGTCATGAGATCTATGGTTTTTATTAAAAAAGAGCTTATAGTAAATAATAATCACACGAATTTAAATTTGATTAATGAATAAAGATATCAATATTTTATCTCCGACCGATCAACTTGATTAATGGAGGGTTAATGCTCAAAGGTTTCTATCTTTGACAAACCTTGCATGCTAGTGTATAGCATCTCCTGCAACTAGTGTTCTATCAGAATAGGTCTCCAACCCAGCTGGTGAAATAGTGTTATTAAACGGTTCTATTTGTGCCGATTTTTTAAAAAGCTAACTCATTATTTTAGCCAGATAAATATTTCCTTAACCTCGAAATTTCCCTAATAGATCAAACCTTTGTACCATCTATGGCCAAAATCTTCAGGCTTGCGTAACATTTTTTTGGGTAAAATATTGAATTAGCCGTTTTCAAAAATCGCTTCAAATCGAGCCGTGAAAAAAATAAATCCGGGACTGGACTCTTATAAAAATAAGGCAAAATTTATTGAAGCCTACAATTTATTAACAACAAAAAATATTATCAGAACTAAGCAATTTAAATATTATGTATAAAATTTATCATTAAAAAATATATTATATAAATATTTAAATATTGAATATATTTTTAAGAGAAAAAAAAATAATTATAAAATGTATTTTCAAAAAACAAATAAATTTTTTTTTAGAACATTTGGATAACCTTGATAAAACGTGGAAAAAATAAATAAGTAACAATTGTCAAAATTTAAAAATAATTATATTCATTAAGAGATAACGATAATAATTTTTCCTTGCTGATTATAATTAACAAAAAAAATCTTTTAGCGTTTCTCAAGTGCCGGGAAATCAGAAACTCTAATTAAGCTCCGTAAACCCTTATAAACGAAGGCATTATTATAAGCTGGTTATAACTAGATTTTGGGGCGAGAACCTAATCTAATTTAGGAATCGGAATCTCCGTTTTAAATTATAGGAACCGAGACTGCCACTTGTAAAATATCCAAAAACAGAACCATTTAATGGAAGTGTAATTTTTTTCGAGCTGAAAATAGAAATCGCCGGACCGAGCTTCAGATCATAACGAAGGGAATATAAAAAAATTAAAAAAAGAATTATGGGACCCAGTGATAAGGGGGGACCGATGATAAGGGACTTTTACTATGGGGTAGGGTGACGCGAGATGACCATTGAAAATGGATGGGGTTGGGTAGTTATGTAGAGGGGGTGTATAGGGTAGTTTTGATGTTTCCTTATTCTATTTTTGTTAATTTCGTTTGAATGTGTTTTTTGCTAATTTTGATTTGGCCGGGGGAGTACAAGGTAATATTATCACTGGTAAAAGGGGGGCGATGCAAAAGTCTCTTCCAGTGATTAATGTAAAATTATTATAACAGTCTATTATTTCGACTATAACTTGACTAAGAAAATTTTTTATAAATTTGAATATTGAAATAACCAAGGCAAAATCCGTTATTTGAAAAAATATGATAAATGATATAAACTGATTCTACTAAATGTGATTGGTGTCATTGTGATTGTTATATTTATATCTAAATATCTTCTTTCTTATATAATAATTTATTTACAAAAAATGTATATAAATTTATAATTAAATTTATGCAAAATGACCTCAAAAACTTTTATTACATTACTATTTCCATAATGACGAATGCCATTTTTTAAAAGAAAAAAAAATTGGTAAAAGGTTATATCATTATCACAATGTCTTTCGTATGTTAAAATAATATAAAAATTAAGATAATGTATATTACAAAATATTATATAAAATATATATAAATGGTACGTATAAAAATCCTGCCCGTGCCTAAAAAATTAATTACAAACCAGGCCCGGCCATTTTTTTTAAACAAACCCGACATAAAACTACTTATAAAATGCAACCAATTATTTAAAATAATCTGGGCAACCCATGCACAGTTAGCGCGAATTAGCGGCGAAATAAACCGCCGCGAATTCGCGCTAACATGAATGAGGAGTAAGGCTTAAAAATGGTGGGAAGAGGAAAATTGAATCCGAACCGGGTCTAAGAATCTGACCCTCTCTTAAATTTAAAAGGTGAATAAAATATTTTAAAATAAATAATTATTTATAAGAAAAAAAAATGGTTAGCTTAATTAAAAAAATATCGCAAGAATGTGAATTATTTTTCGCATATCTATAAATTTTTTTATATTTCTTCAGGAGGTCAATTTAAACTTTAAGGTAAATAAGAAAAATATGGTTTAAAATTTTTTTGTTTTATAAAAATACATTTATTATAATGTTCTATTAAAGGGATATACATTTTTATTGTATAAATAAAATCGAAGCTATGAGCTCGCTCCTTTTATTAACAAAAAAACTACACAACTTAATCTGAGCTAAAATGGCTATCATCTAATGATAAAATAAAATTATATAACCCTAATACTATAGATAACAAAATACTTGATTTGGATAAAAAAAATTATAGAACTAGCGTACCGATAAATTGCCAATGTATTTTAATCCAAAGAAAAGTCGAATTTCGTGACAATCGATGTTATTTATAAACTAATGAATATAAGGAAACAAAAAATTCCGGGCTGGGCCGAAAATATCAAACTTAGGGGATATGAGTGGGCGCGTAAAATGATTAAATTTAAAAATCCTGTGCTAACCCCAAGTTTCTAGTATAGTTTAAAAAATGGAGCATATATTGTTGATAGCGTTTAATTTCTAAAGGTGTAGCGTGTTTGTAAGATAAAATGAGAGATGAAATTTATAAAAACAAGGTTAAAATTACCTCCAAAAATATATAATTTTTTAAAATATTATCGCGAACTGATTTCTTTAAAAATAATAATTTAGTCTTGATAAGATAAAATAAAATATTAATATTTCCTTTTTTTTAACAGATAAAATATTATATATATGTATTAAAAACGCGGCAAATAATAATAGCGGCTGCCTCTCTAGGCCAAATTAACATAATAGTTTTAATAGTTAAGTATAATAAAAAAAATTATTTCTAGAGGATTGCGAACGGCCCAATGGAAAACAATACCTACATCTAGACGAATCATAGAAGCAGACATTCATATCTCATTTTCCTCCTCTTTGGCTGTAAGCCTCGTGTGGGAGCCCCCCCGTTTCGGTCAACCGAATATTAATTAAAAATCTTTTCCATTATATTTCCACAAACATTTATAATTTTCCCGCCTTTCATGAAAAGATAATCGGCCAATTCTTAAAAATTCTGAGAATTGGCGCCGATCTGATTTTGATTCCAGTATCTTAAGTACTAGAAAAAAGTAATAACTTGAACCAAGCCATAATTTATTTCTATATGGCTATAAAATTCATTTATACGTATGAAAAATCTTATCAATCTATCAATACTTTAAAAAAAAAAATCTTTTTTTTTTAAAAAAGGAACAAACTATTTGAGCGATCTTCAGAATTCCGGATTGAGTCCTAATGTAATCTCTATCGACCCTGGGTCCTGTCACAGTCGTTCTCGTGGTGGACATCTTTATATTTTATCTGTAGATATTTTAAAAAAATAGTGTAAAATATTATAAAGCATTTTTAAAGTTAAAGGATTCTATAAATTATAATTATTTATATAAGGTTGGTTAACTTATTTTTAACGCTGCGTTCAAAACGCACAGTTAATAAGTGAGTTTTACCCCCTTTAAATATTGAAAGCCTTTTAAACGCGGCGTTAAAGGAGATGGACCAGGCCTTATATAAAGGAGACCCGTTGCTCCAGATTGGAGAAAAAAAATTAACGCAAGCCTGGCCGATTTAAAAATTTTAAATTATATCAATGAGTTTGAAAATTATATATAATGTCATTCACTGTGTATATTTTCAATTCCCATTTGAAGCAATTTACAATACAGAAAATTAAATAACAATATTTTAAAATTCTGAGCAGGGCAAATGATCAAAATTTAATATCTGGGCAGGGCTTAAAATAAATGAAAAAAAGAGTGTGATGAAAATGATTTTTTTCGAGCCGGGTTTAAAAATTCCTCTTTAGGTCTATGATATCATTTAATTTGAGCCATTGATATTCAGGAATTCAAATGGAATATCGGTTTGGTTGTAACTTTCAACTAGCTCGAACCTTTCCGCGTCAGATTTTTTTTAAAAAGTTGTATCGTTATTTCCGAAAAAAAATAATACTAATGAGTCCTATACCATTAAAATATGTTTATGATATTCTTTCTCTCAAATTATATATATGAGGAGAAAGAATATCTATAGACGAAAATACATCTCTGCGCAACTTAGAATCAAAATCGATTATTAATAATCTTAAAAGAGTTAGGATATCACAAAGGATTCATATATTTTCTTTTTAAGTTTCGGGTGAAAAAATTCTCAACTGTTCAGATTCGATTAAGATTTTGATACCGGATTGGCAGCTCGATTTGAATGCTAAATAGAAAGAGATTTATTATATTATTTTTAAAAGTTTTACCTAATTTTGACAAAAAAATGAGAAACCCCAATTCCCAATGATTATCAAATCATCCATATAAATAACAAATGATAAATTTGTATAAAAAAGGAAAATAAAAAAATATCAAGAATTTTGGCAATCGGTTCTTATTCATTAATCAAATATTATGTATGTCTGACAAAGTGATATAATATAATAATATGACATTAATTTTAACTAAGATTATGATGAGCCATAATAACCATTGGCTATCTTTAATTTATTTATCTGTCATATGATTAGTTGAATTTTATTTATTTATTTTTTTGGTAAATAATATTTTTATTACCAAAAACCATTAGATGTTATTTTACACATATTTTTTTAAAATGAATATTTTAAATTATAATATTTTTTTAACCCGGTTAATAGAAACATAAATACCCAGTCCATAGAGCGTTTTTGGTGTGACCTCAAAACCAAATATGTTAAATCTGGGAGGTCCTAGTTTATGGAAAATTACATAGCAACATATATATAGAGAGAGGAAATATAAATTGAATATCTTTAAAAATGTTTTAGAAGATATTAGCATTTCCTATAAATATATAGAATATATATTATGTTATACACATTTTAAATTTGAAAAATAAATATTTTAAATAAAATAAAGAGAGGTTTATTTGTATGCTCAGATAATATGTAATTAGAAATAAAGCTTATATTCCAGGAATCCAAATTGAACAGTCATATTGTGATATTAACCCTTATTATTTGCAAAACCCAAGAGCCTGTACTGTTAAAATTCGTCACCCTAGACTCTATAAAAAAAGTTATGTGAATCGGTTTGATATCCTAACTCTTTTAAAGATTATTATCAATGCAAACGAATATAAATCGAATTATAAATTATTAATATTCGATATCGAATAATTTACAATTCTTACTCAATTAGTATAATTAAGAATAGTAAAATATTTAATTCGTTTAAAAAATCTAATAATTAGTAATGCATCGTATTTGAATAGACTTATTGATAAGTAACAATTTTTAAATATTTTGAGGCTATTTGACACTGTCAGCTGCTCCGTAAGCATATAAAATGTGCCGTATTTATGAATTTGTTTTGGAAGGGGCAGTTAAAAAAAAGTATAAATCACAAAATATTTTTATTATTTAATAATAAAATCCAATTAATAAATTAAAATCACCATTAAGTGTTTTTAACAAGAATATTCCTTCTTATTATAGATATAATTTGTCAGAAGATAATCATAGAACTATTTTATTTGTATATGCTCAATGTCAATAGTGTTTATGTTTATAGTTTATAAATTAATTTACTTGTATGTGCTGTGCAATAATAATAAAATAAACGTTTGTCGTACATATTGAGTTTTAGTTATAATTTTTTTTTAAATTTGCTTCTCTATACATGATTTTAATAAATTTATATAAGAAACTATTTAAAATTACGGATATAAACTGAACCTTTATAATCGAATCCGATACTCATTGCTTCGGATCTTGGCATTTTTCAAAATAATTGAACGGGAAATCGAAGAAGATATAATTTTCAAACTAAATTGATTGAATGTATTTTTAAATAAGTCCGGCTGTGGTTTGTAATTAATTTTCAAATCCCCTACCCCCTCCCCCCCAAATTTTTTTTAAGGCACTAGAGGCCGTACATTATAAGAATGGCATATTTAGATCTTTTCTCTAAATGTTAATAATCCTAAATTCGCCATTTTTTAAAACGGAATTAGTGAATAAGAATTAAGAATAATAATTAGTTATTATACGCTGACTAAAAAATTATCAAATATTGGCGATTCATTCACTAAATAGATTTAATCGTGTCCATATGTAGGGCCAATTTATAATTAGCACGCCGATTAAATGACGTTAGTATGCATTCATTTATACTCAATGGCGTTAAAGCTAACTCCTATGTATGTACACTTTTTAATTAACGAATCATAAATCTTATATATACATCAAATCATTATTGTTCATTTTAAAAAAACGTGAGCTATAAAATAATTTAAACTTAAAATTTGTGTATAAAAAAACCACAGATTTATTTTGGAATCTCTCAATCTGAATTTCCCGTTGATTCAAAAACATTAATATGCATGTACACATTTCTAAAAAAAATTTTTGTTTTTAAAACCAACACTCAGGTGTTAGTCAGATGGTGATATTATAAAAAAGGCTTATCACGTTTTAACGATAAAGATATTTTGTTACTTCAAAAAAATTAAAATAATATAATATACTGATTAATATATTTGCACAAAGACTTCATTTATATTGTTCTTTAAATACCTTTGAGCAATGGTATATTATCAAATATCGATTTTTTATTTTGTTTTTTGGAATTGTAAATTCTATATTATATAGGTAATATTAAAAATATAATAAGGCATACAAAATATTTGTTTTTGGTAAAAAAAAATATATATAAATCTATATTACAGTAAATTTAGCCTACGTTTATAAAATCGAATTTATCCGCCCAAAGGATACTTTGTTTATTTTAGCCTATCCCTTTAAAAATGAGAAAAGAAATATCAGTTTCAATCAAGATTTTATTAAATAATTGGTACTCGGGTCGAATATTTCATTATTCATATTCGATACACGAGTATCAAATCTCTGATTATACGAATAAAAATATTCGTATCGAATATTTAATCATTATTCGCTATGTTACTATTTTAAATATCAGATCATCGACCGATATCATTAAATTGGGAGATCCGATATATCGAAATGACGGATAAAAAAATTTTAAATTAAAATTATGTTAGGATATAATATAGTAAATATTATATCATGGAAATTTTCTTTAAAACACTCTCGAACCAGTGGGCCCTTCAAATGAAAATGCCATATGTCCTGATGGTAAATCCCTCATTCCCTGGACTAACAGTCTCCCGCTGACCTGGGACTATACTTGTGTCGATTTTACAGCAAGGTCCAACCTCTCATTTTCTGCTATTAAAAAGGCAGAAGCCCTTAAAAAAAATAAATATGCTGGTCTCAGCAACAGTGTTCATACCAATCGTTACCAATACCTTAAGCATGTTCGAAAGTGAGGCCCTCAATTTCATTAAAACCATAGGAAATAAAATGAGACAGACAGGAGAGCCCAACGAAGAATTCTACCTTCGTCAGCGAATTCTCTCGAAATCTGCCAACCAATTCTTTAAGCATTCACTCTTCTAATCTTTTAAAAAAAAATTTAAGTTCTTTTTAATGTTTTTGACCCTTTAATTATGTTAAATTACTTTTTTTTAAATTGGAATAGCTCTTTTTCTTATGTATGTTTATTGATATATTTTCCCTTACAATATATTTTTTCCCCATAATGTAATTATTAAAAATAGGATGAGCTAATAATGATCGGCCCATAACTTAAATCGAAAAATCGACATCCAAAATGCTGTATTGGTATAACCTCTAATTATTATTTATGCGTCGTATTGGGATATGGAGTCTCAATCATTTACTGAAGGCGAATTTAAATTTAAAAAAATTAGATTTGACCGGAAATGCAATCTAGCATGGGTAGTATACCTAACCTATAAATTCCAGTCAATTTCGCCATAACATTTGTTTATTCTTAGTAATAATTTATATAAACAATCTGTATAAAAATCAATATAAATTAAGAATATTTCATTTGGTTCTAAGCAAAATTGTCTACAATTAGCAGTGTGGATGCTTTATACGTTTGAATATATTTGCTATATCAGATATTTCAAATTTAAATTACCTACAGTATATGATTTAAAATTAAGATTTCATATCCCATTTCCAATACGATTTATAATAATATTTATATTAATAAACCCGATCAATTAAAAAAAAAAGCATATTTACATAAACATATATAATAGCAACGATAACAAATTTTTTTTTAAAGAAAAATATTATAAGGTGTGGTTGCGGTGATGATAAAAAAAATCTTTTAATAAATATTTGATTTCGATGATATCGGGAAGAAATAATATACACAATTAATTAGTTGTAATTAACATTTCAATGCCGTTATATTGTGGTAAAAGTGGTGGGTGATAATTGGGTCAAGATGGAAAAACAGATTGTTAATTTTTTTTGTTTGAAATCGCGAAATTATATTAAAATAAATAACTATTAAGAAAACAGAGAATTATTGGAGAAATTATAAAGATTTCCGAAATCCTAAATCAAAAAAACGCTAAAAAAAAGTTTGTAGATTGTAAGAAAAATCAAGTCCAATATTATTTGAAATTAATGGATATCTATAATTGTAATATTAAATAAATAACCTAGTAACTTTTTTTTATAGGTTTTGAGAAATGAATATTAAGATAATAATAAAAAAATTCGAATTGAGCATTTTGAAATTAAGATATTACTTTAGCAAATTTTGTTCATTATACACAAATCTAGGAATATATGGAATTATTCACATCTGTCATTACATTTTTTAAAATATATTTCTTAAAATTTTAATTTAGTAGATTATAATAAAAATTGTTATCTAAATGGTGGAATGGGGGGAATAGAGTCGCCTTGGGCTAGGCCAATAATTTCCAGCCGTAATTTTAAATGTAACCGGGCTTAGCCTAATTGTTTTTTAAAAAATAACCGGGGCAGGCCGTGCCATATATTTTAAAACCGAATTTTAAATCGCCATTATTAGCTATAAAAATAAAAAAATAAATGAAATATATTTTTAAAAATCAGCACCGGGCCGTGCAAATGGTACCTCTGCAGGTCTCTGATATTCGCCCCCAAAAATAAAAAATATTATAAGGCCTCACACCATAATTTAAGGCCGTTTGTTGAAGTTCCTGCATCTAAAAAATTTGCTTTGGGTCCACCAATGCCATAAGGAGTTATGTTAGGCCTTGGCAGTTAATAGGGTATAAAAAAATTATTAAAACTTATGCTTAAAAATATTGTCTGTATTTATATTTAAATAAAATCGAATCAGGACTTGATTGGTCCAGATTTTTCAAAAAAAAGTCTGGCCTGAATTTTTGCCCTGCCCTAGTTTTAAAAATTTTAAATATATTATATTTATTTAAATTTTTTATAGATAATAATGGCGATTTAAAATATTCGACCCAGTTCTGGTATATTTAAAATACAGTCTGGCCTAGGTAACCGGGCCTGCAGGTCTCCAATATATTATAAATATTTAGTGCCTAGGATAACTAATCAAAAATTAATTTAAGCATTAAATGTTAAAAACACTAATAGAAGTATTATTGAATTATCAAGAGGTTAAAGCAAATTTAGAATAAAGAATTTATTCCCAATACAAAAGTTCTATAATTAACATTAATTAAAAATAATATTGATAATGTTTAAATATTTAACAAGTGGCTTTCAATCAAAACTGGGCAGTAATTAGACAATTACAATTCCATCTATATGATTAATAATTTTATTAATTCCATTTTTAAAAAAGGGAATTATAATTGTAATTAATTACATTTTCAAGCAAGTAATAATGAATTAGTAATTACAATTATAACTTTTTCTTAGATATTAGGGGTGTACCGATACCATGGAGGCCAATCCGTTCTGATATTAAATTGATATAGGCCGATAACCTATCCGATATCATAACTAATTTTGTATTCTGTAAAGATACCAATGGTTTTAATGTTTAATATACTTTTTATTACTATAACATCTATAATTTAACTATACCATAACTTTTGTCATTTAAATATATTATGATGATCAGTTATATTTTATATTCAATATAATAGCAATTCTAAAAGTATATAAAATATTTTTATTGCTAAATCACTTTTATATAACATTAATCTATATACATATTAAGTAATAAATAAATAATAAGTAATAAATAAATAATAATATTTATTTCTTTTTAGAAACACCAAAATTTCAAATTTATCAGAGGTCAGCCTGTGATGATGGTAACTGTCAATATCACCAGCTTCACTAAAAAGAGATTCTAAAGAGATTATCGAACACTTTTTATAAACAAAATGCACAAATAAAATAATATGCCAGAATGTTTATTAATTAAATATTATTATTAAAAAATATACATAAAAATGGATTTCGATTTTATTTTTAAAAATAAATGATTTTAAATATAATTTTTTTAAAAAGCTACTTCACATATTTTAATAGATGTGTTAAATTAATGTTTAAACAATTTAATAATTTTATTTTTACACCAAATCTAATTAAGGATATTGCACATGAGGTGCTTATTTATCTAAAGATAAGCAAGAAACTATTTTGCTAGAAAAGAACTCATAAATAGTACATTTAAATAATAGCCTGGTTGAAATATTGATCAGAAAAATTAAACATTTTACCAAATACTAGTTAAAAATAAATTTGATAATTAAGGTAGATAAATTGCTTTGGATTACTGCATATAATATATAATTAGAAATTTTACATATTATAACAAAATTTGCTCGCAAATTCTTAACATGTATAAATATAATGTATAATAATTTATATTAAAATGTTGTAATATTTTAATTAAAGAGTAAAGTAAACTTAATATTTTTCAAATATAAATTGTAATCATAAATTAATATAATTTAGATATCTGTTTATTTTAAATTTAAATATCTTTTAAATTGGGATTTGATAAAAAATAATGAATATTTAAATTAATAATAAACTACCATATTTAGTAAATGTTAATAGTTATAATTAATTGCAAAATTTTATAAGTAAATGTAGTTAACCACTAAGGTAATTAAGTTTATCTAACTTTCAATTAATCAATATAGTTAAAATATAAGTCCTCTTACAGCTAATAAAATGGCATGATTTGAAAAACCGGCCTAAAAATAAATTATAAACTTTAAGTAGTATTAATTTTTTTAAATAAATTATTATATTAATTGAAAAATCATATGATGAATTATTTAAGCATTTCTTTCCCCTTGAGGAAGTAACAAAGAAAATAGAGCAAAAATTATTATTTATAATCAAATATTAAAATCCAAGCCCAAAAATAAGAACAGACATCTCCAGATAGAAAATTAATTAGACTAAAAACATTTATCTAAGGAAGGCCATTGGTGGATATATGAAATAAATATAGTTTTATTTAAAAAAAACAACTATATAGTTTTTACCTGTTTATCAAAGCTAATTATTTGAGAAACTTGAATGATATTTAAGCTTACAACCAAAAACCGCAAAATGTCGAATAATGGATGGAAATCGACATCTGATAAGTGAAGATAATAAATGAATACTAAACGATGACGTATCTGAAAACATATTTAAATTATATTAGTTGATAACAGGCTTGTTAACAGATCTTTTTAAAATGTTCAAATCCCGATCACGATCTTTTCAAAAAAAGAGGATCGAAATCCCGACCTTTTTTTAAAAAAAAGATCGCGATCACGATCACGATCTTTTTTTCTATTTAAATTTCTGAAGGAAATTTCTGACCGATGCAAAATTAACTAATATATGTTATAAATTTATTGTAATTGAATAATAATATAATATAACCGATGCAAAATTAACTAATATAAAAATAAATTAAATATGGTAGAAATTTATTCTAATTGAATAATAAATATAACAATTATAATATATTTATTTATAATTAAAATTAGCTTTTAATAATAAAATTTTTTCTAAATTATCATCATTTAAACAACCGTGTCTTTCATTTAGAGCATGTTTAGCTTTACTAAACAAGCGCTCCACAGGAGCGCTTGATGGCAAAGGTGTATTATATTCAATAAATATTTTTTTTTAATTAATATAAGTATTAAAAATATTCATGGAATCCTCATTTGAATAAAAAAATTTTTTAACGGAACAAGCATTTTGTACAGTATTTTTCCCCAAAAAAGCATCAATGTCATCCATACATTCATTTGAGGTATCCGCATATGGTTGTTCCTGCATATTTTCCAAATGGCCAACTAATCTTTCTTTTACCATCATATTTTGTGGCAGATTAATATAAGGCCAATTAAGTTTAAATTTAGGGTGAATCATGGCTGCCAAAATGTTACTGTCATTATACAGTGAAGGAAATCTATATTATGAAATGATATTTAATTTATTATTAAATAAGTGTTCATTTTATTCATATAAATCAAATCAAGTATCTGCAAAACTTAACCCTTTTAAATTTTACAGTCAAGTCTGGCACATCATCTGTATGGTATTTATTTATATTTGGGTCATATCATAAATATTGATTAAATGTAAACTTAATACTTAATATACAAAGAAATTAACATTGTAATTTATTTACAAAGAATATTAATCAAAATATTAGCTTAAAATTCAAATAATCTAATAAATTTTTAAGGTCTTCAAAGGCCCATTAATATTTTATTAGATATCAGAGGTTTAGTAGAACTGACCTGTTAAAAATATTTTACTAAATTTGCCAGATCTTTGCAATTTTTTAATATATTTTGCAGATATCTGATAATATAAAATAATTGCATAAAAAAATATTACCTTTTATCAATACCTCTAAGAACATTATCTACAAGGGGCTGACAATACCGCAGGCAGCTAAATTTCGTTAATTTATCTATCAATATCGATAGAACGGGAGTTAGATATCCCTGCTCCATACATCCTCTCGTTCCAAGATTTTTAACGAGATCGCTGTTGTAATAGTCAAATGAGTTAAAGAAAAATGAATAAAAAAGATGTATTATTCAGATAATAAAGTTCAAAATTATTTCAGTTTGTTTTCTAAACATTATGTAAATGAATATTATAGAAAAGTATATATAATCGAGTATATTTTGCTTGTTAAATATAATAATTTTACGAACTTAATTTTTAATTTTAATTTTTTTATATTATTTTAATTTCTTATTTTAGTTATAATTATGTAATTAGTATTTATATTAATTAATAAAGTATTAGTAATTAATTTATTTATACAATTTATTTTATTCTCTAAATTCTCTCAACCACTACATTTGTTGGCCAAAACATTATGTTCTATGGACATATTCAGTCTACATAAAATACTAAAATTTTACATTGGTGTTGGAGAGACCAGGCGACAGGCAATTACAACAATTCAGTTTAATTAACTCTGGAAAGAAATTCTAAATAAAGAGGGAAGGAGATTTATGAAATGACTATCGACACTAAGACAAAGAATGAGAGCAATAAAACAATGGTATCAATATTGATGATCGTAATTCGGAAAGGAATAGAATTAGTCGTTTAGCTAAAAAGAATTCGTCACAAGAGATCGTTATAGGTACAAGTTATCGTTTATATATAATATTAGGTTGTGATTAACCAAAAATCTTCATAAAGAGAAACGGCTTTTCGTCATTAGAAATTTTATGCCGCAATCGAGCTCACGTAGAGATCGAATTTTTATTTGAGATCAAAAGATAAAAGAAATATTTGTCGTATAAGAGATCTTAAGACGAAGTTGATATAGTGACAAGCGACTAGGTAGAACAAGTGGTCTGCAATCGTTAATCGTTGACAAATTATCGCCATTGCTTAAAATACTAAGTATAAGATACAAAATCGATTATCTAGGAAACAAAAATTCGTGAAAATGGCAGATCAAGCATTGCACATCGTTGATCGAGATAAAGCAATGATCATTAGTTACAAAAGAACGTTAGAAACAAGCAAAAGACCAAATTAATTTATCAGGAGAATTAAAGACGTAGTATAGATAATCGTTGACTAGCAATCGTGTATCGTTTAAAAGCATGCGTTAATTAAGTTGTCAGTGCTAAGAGATCATAGACAAGAAACAGCAATATTGGTATTTCGCAGAATGTGGGATCTAATCTAAGTGGAAGGGTGTTGTAATAGTCAAATGAGTTAAAGAAAAATGAATAAAAAAGATGTATTATTCAGATTAAATAAAGTTCAAGATTATTTCAGTTTGTTTTTTAAACATTATGTAAATGAATATTATAGAAAAGTATATATATAATCGAGGATATTTTGCTTGTTAAATATAATGATTTTACGAACTTAATTTTTAATTTTAATTTTTTTATATTATTTTAATTTCTTATTTTAGTTATAATTATGTAATTAGTATTTATATTAATTAATAAGTATTAGTAGTTAATCTATTTATACGATTTATTTTATTCTCTAAATTCTCTCAACCACTACATTTGTTGGCCGAAACATTATGTTCTATGGACATATTCAGTCTCCATAAACAAAATGTTACAATCGCCAAATGTTACAATCGCCAAATGTTACAATCGCCAAATGTTACAATCGCCAAATGTTCCTTAACCTATAAAATTTAAATTTAATTAGAGAATATCATTGCATTACTGTTGAATACTCTTTAACAAAAAAACATTCATCTTGCCTAAACATTGTAAATCCAATTTGATCACATACTTGTTCTATTTCTGAAAACTTTTCAGAAAGCATCTTATCTATTAATTTCATGGATTGGTAATAAGAATTCCATCTTGTCTTGTTGGGAGCTATTAAATATCTTCCCAATTTCTCCAATAAAATATCCGCCATTTTTGACGACATATTTTGTTTATTAACTAAAGCAAAACATTTTGCAAAAGTGGATCTAGATATTCGTTTATAATTGAGATCACTATCTGCCATCTCCGCATTTGTTGTTGCAATAAGGTTAAGATTATGGCAACAACAACGTTGATATTTTGGTAGGCTGATAGTAGGAATAATTGGGTCATCAACGGATAATATGTCATCCAAATTTATCAATTCCATATCCTCACTATTATCTTCTTCATTTTCTCCAAAAACTCTAGAAAAAATAAATTTATTTAAATATTTTTTGCTAAATATAAATATAACTTAAATGCCTTGACAAAGTTGGTTCCATTGTCAGTCACCATCTTCACCACCTTATTATGAATTTTATAGAACTTGTGGATACCCATAATTTCGTTGGCCAAAACATCATATGTTTGCCTCCCAATTATCCTCCTCAGTGCCAAAGCGGCTGACCTTCTCCTGAGGGTTAACGGATCCAGCCAATGTGCAGTAAGTCCAATAAAAGCCCTAATAAAATAAACATTATAAAATTCATATAAATATAATATACCTTCGATGACCATTCCAACAATCAGCAGTGGTGCATAGATAAGAAACTTCAGACAAATCTCTTATAAGATTTGTCGTCATATAAGAGAAAGTAGATAACCTGTTGCCCAGTGTTTGGCGACAAATAATTTTTGTCGCAGGAGAAAAAGTTTTAATCATTTTTTCAAATGAAGGATCATCAACCAGAGACAGTGGTTGGAAGGTGTCAATAATAATATCCATGATAACCTTGTTTCTTTTTTGCGATACAGATGGAATGTTTAGATTGTTAAAATTTAATTTAGATTGTCTGGATTTGCAACCAGAACCACTTTGGTTTTGCAGTGATATATTTTTTTGTGTAGAAAATTCGTTGAGGTGTTTGATAATCTCATTTTTAAATTCACTGTGCTTTTTCTTTATAAAAGAAAAAAATAGTATGTATCAAAGTTGGATGAAAATAACTTCTCCTGAATCAAATTTCCTTTTTAAAATTTTATATGGAAATTTAAAGTTAAAAAAAACAATGTACAGGCTGAAAGTAAAACCTATATAAACAAAAAAATGATAAAGGGTTTAACACAAATTTTGTTAAACATATTAAAGTATATTATTTAATTTATATATGGTTAAAAAAGGTTCATATAGGTTATTTTAAAGTTTAAGTTTACAATATTGTCTTTGTCTATCATTATTAAAAGTTGCCCAGGATAATATGGGCTAAAGATTTTGATAAAATATTTTCCTATATATGAATATAATTAGCCTTTTTGGCATTTAAGAACTATGAATTAAGGGTTCAACAAATTTTGTTAAACATATTAAAATATGTTTTATTAGTGGTTAAAAGGGTGTAGGTGTTGCATATGCGCCATTGTATATTTAAATTAATTAAATAATTCAATTGTATATTTTAATACTTAAATAATTCAATTATATATTTAAAGTTAAGTGAATTATTTGTATATCTCAAGGCAATTAAATATATATATATATATATTGAGATATATTTTCATTTAGAGATCACTTGTTTTTCTTTTATGATAGATACCTGTTTTGTTTTCTTTTTTTGATACATAAAAAATATATTGTAAATTACTTGAATAAAAATCGTTTCAAATTTAATCTTCAAGACTATAATTTAATCTTTTGAATTCCTCCGTAACTTATTCTATACAATCACACATTTATTCTATTC